TTTCGTTTTTCAATCTTGAATTTGATGAGGTCCGACCTCACTTGGATTAAACGGGCAGCGGCTAAAAAAAGAGCAAATAAAAAAAGAGAGAGAAAAAAGAGAGCAAAAGAAAAGAGAGGAGAGCAAAAAAAAGGAGAAAAAAAAGAGAGTATATGTATACCACGCCCCGCTCTCGGTGTTTAGTCGACCACGGCTCGGCCCTCAGGCAAAGAAATAATCAAACTATTTTCTACGTCCGGGGTTTAGCTGCTCGGTCAGGGCAATTGTAAGACCGGCTTTCGGGTCGAAAAGGTATGCGAGAGGTCGCGCCCCGAGCCCCTCTCCTACATCTGTTGTCTGACGTTGTTGTCTAAACAGCTCGCATGCACGTATGATCCAATCAACGATGCGGCAACTATATGACTGGTCTCCGGACCAAAGGAATGCGAAAGGTCGTGCTCTGAGCCCCTTTCGTACATCCGTTGTCTGACGTTGTTAGGCTTAACAGCCCGCATACGTGCTTGATAGGATCAACGGTGCGGGTCCATTCTGGTCTGATCATGCAGGGCCTTGCCCTTACGTTTGGCCGACTTCAGTTCGACTTTCAGAAAGGGAACAACCAAAATATTTCCTAAGTATGAAACTAGTTGTACAAGTCAAGGTGGTTTAAGACCGACCTCTAGGTCGAAGGTATGCGAGAGGTCATGCCCCGAGCCCCTCTCGTACATCCGTTGTCTAATCGCTGGTCGAACAACTTGCACAACTCGTCGGTCCTAGACCGACAGTGTGTGGTCAGCCCCGCCTTACCCAGCAGGACGCGGTCAAGGTCGACCCTATCGACCTTCCGCCCCTCGCGGCCTAGGTGGGGAGCCAGATCCCCGATAAGTTATCCAAGTATTCTTGAATAAAAAACGACTAAGAAAATTGAAAGAACGAACGATGCATACATACAAGCTCAAGTGATAAATCAATCACGGAGAACAAGTTCGACATCAACATTGCCCATCTTCTCCGCCCATCACGGCTAGTCTGCGTATCATGTCGGCCAACACTAAAAGAGAACAAGACAACTATTTGTGCTAATTACAACCCTCTTTGGTCTGAAGCCAATCATGAACCTGCTCTACACAGAGAGCATACGTTTGGGAAGAAACAAGCTTCTTGAATTTACGGGATGCTTGGTGCCCCACATCCTTAGTCCAGGAAGCAAGAAGCTCAGAGAATTCCTGAGAAGCTTTGAGCACCGCAATTGCTTGTTGCGCTGCATCCGCAAACGACGCCTCTACTTGGTTATACTCGACTTCAGCTGGTCACGCTTTGATTGGAGATCGATCATGGCTCTCTTATCCTCTTCATTGCATGCGAAAAGTATCCTCAAGGCTGCCTCCGCTCCATCTGCATGCTGCCGAGCCTAGGTAGCCTGGAGATGGGCTTAATCAGCTTGACGCTGGAGCTCCGTATGCTGATCTTTCATAGTACGGAGCAATGCGACCGGATCCGTCAGTCCCTGCAGGGAAAAAGATCAGATGACATGGAAAATGGTTTAACATCTCTCTTTGCAGCCAAGGCAAGAAATTCGCTTCTCCAACCTGGCACATCTGCAAAGAAACGAACAAGGTGGTACTTTATGAAGAAGGGAAGTTGCATGCTTCTCCCCGACATCAGGAAGGGAAGCTGCACGATTCTCCCAACCGGCTATACCTGTAAGAAAACAAGCGAAGTAAGTTGGAGCTGTACGGGTAGGATTGCCTTCCCTAAACCGACCTGAGAAGCAGTTCATACCCTTTCTCTTCCTGCCAAGTCTATCTTCACAAGGCGGGGAAGCTGCACCATTTCTTACAACACTGGACGGAGAAGCCCCACGTTTCTCTCTAACATTGACCGGGCCTGCATCTGATATTGAAGGCCGGGGTTAGCATCCTGCGCAACTAAGCGTGGACATACTCCGGATGCCGGCCCTCGACCTAAGAAGTGACAAGCTCTGAAAACGTTTTGGGAGGCCTTGAACATGATAATTACCTCATCTACTACATCACCGACGTTGGAACGTGCTCCGAAGGTTGGGCCTTGAGCCTAAAGCTTGCAAAACTCTGAAATCACCGGGAAGGATCTAACATCACTCTCTTACCTTGCATCGCTTTCTTGACCTGCATCAGGGAGCCATCCAAGCACAGCTCTCTTGATCCGACCTCGGCGGGATGACGATAATGACCACTGCTTCAGATTCATGATTGGCCAATGAGTCGTTGTCTACGTTAGCACCGGCTCAACACCATCATTCCTTTCTCAAGACCAGTCAGATCCTCCTTCACTTAGATGATGACCGCTGCTTTGATTTCACAGTCGGCCTACGAATTGCCATCCTCGTCGGGATCGTCTCAGTGCCACCATTCTCATTTCAAGACCGGTCGCATTCCCCTTCACTTGGATGATGACCGCTGTTGTGGATTCATCACGACCAGACTAAACGTAATCATTTTGATTCTATAATCGGGCCAGCCCGCCGTCCACAGGGATGACGACTATTTCTTCATCGCAAGCCTGGGAAGGTGAGTGTTTCTCCCCAGCATCAGGCGAAGAAGCTATTAACATCTTCCCGACATTAGGCAGGGAAGGTGCATGCTTCTACCCGGCATCAGTCGGAGAAGCTGGGCATCTCTCCGGACATCAGGCAGAGAAACTCTTAGCATCCCCCAGCATCAGGCAGGGAAGGTGCGTGCCTCTCCACAGCATCAGGCAGGGAATGAGCGTCCATCTCCCCGGTATCAGACATTGAAGCTCTAAGCATCTCCCTGACATTATGTAGGGAAGCTGCACGCTTCTCCCCGACATCATGTGGAGAAGTTGTGTGCTTCTCTCCGACATTAGATGGACTTGCATCGGATGTCAAAGGTCAATACTTAGCATCTTTCGTCGCATCCAAGGCAGCAAATGCGCTTCTCCGACCATCCATGCCTACGAGGAAACGAAGGCCAGGGAAGGGCAGCAAGTGCACTTCTTCGACCTACCATACCTATGAGGAAATGAAGGTCAGGGCAGGGCAGCAAATGCGTTTCTCCGTCCAACCAGCCATACCTGCGAGGAAACAAACAGCGTAAGCGAGGATTCTGCCGGTTGGGTTATCTCCCCTTACCCGGCCTAAGGAGGAGTTTATACATTTGCTCTTCTTGGAAAGTCGCTCTTCACAAAGCAGGGAAGCTTCTATCTTTTCCCCAGCACCAGGCGGAGAAGCTCCGGGCTTCTTCCTTACCTGAGATAGACCTTCATCTGACTTTGAAGGCCAAAATTTAGTATCTTGCACTGCAGCTAAAGCAGCGCTAGCACCTCTTTTACCTGCCATCTCTTTAACAGGTAATAATAGCAATCAACAAGGACTACTTATCATGACGGACTATTCACTGCATTTATCTCGAGAACATCAGGTGAGCACTGCTCACAAGTGAAGACCGGTCTTTGCTATCCCCTCGACGGATGGCGACAGTTGCAGCTGCACACAATGGCCTAAGAGCTTACCCTTTAGCTATATTTTGGGTGCATTGAAAGAAGAGATCTATCCACCAGAGCAAGACCCCATGCTGCAACTAATCAGACAAACAAGACCCCAACATGCTGATCATAAGAACGAGACCATGGGAGGCTAATCGGATAAACAAGACCTAAAACGGCTACCTAGGCGAAGGAATCCATATCCTCTCACAAGCAGCGGGGATCAATGTGCATAGTTATAAAACTACCCTCTCCCGAGCATACATCGGCTCAGCATCATCAACGGGCAGCTTTGCGACTAGCCTCTCATGGGCATACCTTAGCTCGGCATCATCGACAAACAGTTATGCGGGTGGTCTCTCCCGAGCATGCATTGGCTCGACCGCCACCACTGGAAAGCAGACGAGCGACTGGCCTTCCCGGAACATATCTCGGCTTATGAGTAAAGCAGACGTTCAATCAAGAACCGACGAGACTGACCTTCCTCTGTTTTATTTTGAGGTACCGGTGTACTCTTTTTCCTTCACTAGGATTTTTTCCCACCGGTTTTTCCCTAGTAAGGTTTTAACGAGGCATCCCCTCATCATGAACAAAGGAAGAGGTCTTCCCGGTTGGAGCGAAGAAGACCTGGCAGCTGGCCAGATAACCAGGACCCCAGGATGCTACCTAGACAAGAAGGGTCTCATCCTTGCGCAACACTGTGGGATCACAACAGACGGTTACATGACTAACCTTTCCAGGCACACCGTAGATCGTCATCATCAACAATCATCTGTGTAACTAGCTAGCTAGCTTAGCAACCAGGCCGATTTCAAAGCAGCTCAACTACTCCCTTTTAGCCGAGTCTACTACTCGACTAAGGGATGGGGGGACTCGTGTTGGGATAATATGCCAGGCCCAGTGCCATCGGCCCGTTATCCCTGAGCTTTGGCCCAACTAGGCCCAAGACGCAGTCTCACGAGCAGGAATCACCCCTTGCTCATTTACTTATTTATCGGGTCGGTTCGCCCATTAGCTTGGACATGTATTATGTATTTGGGCCAAGCCCACGTAGATTAGACTTTGGACTTGTGTTGGATGCCTATAAATAGGCCATCACCCCCTTGTATTCTCTACGCTATTTTACGATACTGAAATGCTGCCAGTTTCTCTACCTAGGATATTTTCTACCAACAACACCTATAAGGATGCATAGAGGACATTGCCTCCTTGACCTCCCCCACTCGAATCAGGCACAATAGCTCCCTGTTATGATGATCGCCAATCTTCATGTCCATCTGGGACAACAAATGGTCACGACTCTCTTGCGCTGAAGTTAAAATATTAGTGAATTAGTCATCAATCAATCTCACTAAGACTCCTCTATCCTTCTCCCACCCACCCCTGGCACTCTTAAACCCTCAACATGATTCATTCTCCTTCTTTGTTTCACAACTTTATAAAAAAATGCATTGAGATCACATTTGGTACCAAAATGCCTTGATCAGTTGTCTCTGGAAAAGGTTCTAATAATACAAAAAGTTTAAATACTCTTACCCTCCCAAACTTTGCCATCCCCATGCACGAGAGCATTGTCTAAGATATTCTAACATCTCCATACAAAACGAAATATGTTTAACCAAATCTCCAAATCTGCACCTTCGCCCATATACTAACTCCTTTGTGATCACGAGCTCAAAGGATTTGATATCAAGCTCGACTCATTTGCTTACCGAGCCAACTCAAGCTTGGTTCGATTCCGATAGAACTTGAGTCGAGTTTTGACCGAGCGGCTTGATTCATTTGCACTCTTACTCGAATTTTTCTAACCAACTTTGAATACCAAAATCTAGTCCAACTTTTCCTCTACCCACTCCAGAGAGTCTCACCTTCGTTGCCGTGTAAACTGATGCATAGTACATGTGAAAAGGAAAAGTTGATAGCCCACAACCCATACAGCCTCACGCCACTCAACAACCATGACGGATGGGGCACTCACCCCTTCTTGTCACTGGAGTACATTGGATCATTGAACCCCCATTACCGGTCAAGGAAGGTGACACTCAAGGCCCAATGGTTTAAGTGATTCCCATGACTTTCTTCATCTACTACGATCAGGGTAACCATAAAATGTAGTGAACCGCAAGCTAATTCATCTACCTCCAAGTGAACATGAGCTTCATCACTCCAAAGAAGAGCTAACTCACCTCGAAGGCCAACACTATCCACCACCAAATAATACCTCAAACCAATCTTTCTTCCCACCTCTTCCACATTAGCTTTATTAGAAAAGTCTCCATAATGAAAACAATACACATCCTGTTTGAATGGATTAGAACCACTATCACTTGAACTATTGATGAGTTGTAATATAAATTGTATTTTGCAATCATTCAGGGTGATTATGGATACATTTTTAAGAAGTTGTCCCAAACAGGAGTAAACAATGCGGACTACAATTATTTTCCTATTTGAAAAATAATGTCAACTATGATACCAAATATGACAATAAAATTCCAATATGGTTGTAATTTAATCATATGTTGGAATTTTACATTATTTTAATCCTATTTTCCCGACATTTTTTTATTGATTTTATGGATATGAATTTTGAAATTATTATTGTGTCATTTACAAATTCTCCACAACCTTTATTGTGTCATTACAAATTATTAAGGATCTGGTATAACCTTATTTCTGTAGGCATTCATTGTTTGATCAAATTTCTTTAGTGTGAAGTGTGAACTGTGAAGTGGTGACTGGTGAACATACTACTCTGTTTGTATTGTTTGACTATTGGGTCATGCAATCGATGGACCAACTAACAAAAGTTATTTCTAAAAGTTAGCCCAAAGGGAGCAATTAGATCCAGCCCATACAATTAATAGTGGAGAAACCCTCACTCGACAGCTGCTTCTTCTCTCAGGAACAGGCATCTATCTGTCACATATTAGCTGCTGGGTTTCCCATCTCAGGTAACGCTATCAACTTGTCGACGAAGACAGGCGACAGAGTTTAAAGGAGTATCCATGACGACCGTCGTTCAGACCTCCGAGGAAGATCCAGCGCTTTCCGTTATTCGATTTACCGCCGAATTGTCTTGGGCGGACGCCGGACCAGAGGTAATAACTCTTGTTTCTCCCATCTAGTTCTTCTCCGCTTGAGATTCTATGCCCAATTCAATCGACGTATTGGATGCATATATGTACCGGTGTTCGTTCTATTTCCATAAAATTTTAATAATTTCATTTTTAAACTATAAAGTGTTGTACGGGTGAGAGGTTTTATCAAATAATTTACAAGAATTATATAGCTTTTGGGAAGAGTTTCTATGGATTCGAGTTATATGGCGGTGTCTTCACTCTTTGGTAGGTAGCGGAGCCTCAAGTTAGTCGACTATGCGTAGAAGGACAGGAATGTATGATAGGAGGCAGGTGGTTGGATTTGGCTTCTCTGATGCTGACATCTGCAGAATTGGTATTTTCCAAAATTTCTGATAAAGGTAAGGCATTCATTAGTATGGAGTATTACATGAACTTAACTGCTTTTCTGAAGAGTTTTTATACCTGTGCTATTTGGAGGTGTTCTAATTGCAATAATAACTGTTATTTCTAATGTGGATTAGACGTGAAGGCTTTGCTAATGAAAAGTAGAAGTTTTTTTTGTAGAATAGTCATGCTTCTATTGGGTTTACTTGTTGGTTAATTTTTTAAAGAACTGTAAAAGCCCTAAGGCCTTAAAGTGATCGCTTTTCCTTCATCCATTAGAAGCAACTCATTCATACTGATTGCATCCAGACGAATTTTTGTTGCTTACCAGTTTTATTTTTAAATCACTAACCTGCATCATATAATTCCCTTTTATACTAACAAAACATTATTTTCATTTACTATATGTTTATTCCAGATGCTGAGTGCATTTACACTATAATTTCAAATCTCGTAAAGAAGCCCGGCAGTCTGGATCAAGTACATGAGATAGCTGAGCTTATTTCATCAAAAGTCATGCAGCAACCCACAGAGAAACCTGCACTGCGCTTAAAAATGTGACACCTTTAAATGCAGCAGATTATTTTACATGTTAGAACAAAAAGTTATGTTTTTTTTATCTCATTGTGTTTCTTGTTTCCCGATTTTCAGTTTGTTCAACCTCTACAATCTTCTAGACAACCCTTATAGCCGCTTCATTGTATACATGAAGGCCCTTCATTTTGCAATCAGTGGAAAGGTCACTGAACATGTTCTGTCATCCTTTAAAAAGATGGACAACTTTTTGAAGGAGTGGAATATTGGGGTAAAGGACAGGAGAGAGCTCTTTCTGACAATCTCTAATATATTGAAAGAGCACAAAGGGTGAGAAGGCTGGGCTTCTGTGACATGAATTTTCTCTTTACACTGTTTGATGCTAGAATTTAGTATGCCCCTTAGTGTTATCTTACTTAGATTTAAATTCCCAGACACGCAAAAGAGTCTTTCACTTTTCTTACAAAGTATCTGTCAACCTTCTCTGGTGATGATGCAAACACTATGAATGAAGCTAAGGATGCTGCTGTTCAGACCATTATTGAATTTGTCAAGGTGCCAGACATGTACCAGGTATCAGTGAGTACTTACTTTATTCAAAAAGTTATTTGTATTTTGTAATATGTTGATGTGATGTTTGGCATTTCTCCACCTTCTTTCACGGACATAAAAGGTGGTTTTGAGCAGTAAAGTCAATAGTGCGCTGTAGCAGAGTTGAGCAGCACCCGGGCGCTATTAGAGGCTATGTAGCAGAGCGTTTGTCTGTAGCAGACGTAGCAGCCGCTAATGCAGGCACTATAGCAGTAGTAGCAAGTGCTATAGTGGAGCTAGTGAAGTTTCTGAGTTGTCTGATCTAGGATTAGAGTATAAAGGAAATTTTGGTTTTTGAACTTTTTAAAGGGGTAGTAGGCTTTTCAGAATAAAAAGCAACCCCACTAAAACCCTTTCAAGCATGTAAAACCAGTATCCGAATATATCTTTCTTAGTCATCCCTATTCTGCTTCTCCGACAACCAGCATTATGGCTCACTGAACTACACTAAAACAAAATATCTGTTAAGACAGCCAGAGAACTTGCTTCTTTACTCTACTATCAACTCTTCTCAGTCATCTACCTCTAGTTTAGAGGCTTGTTTAGTATTGAGCCTACTGTGTTGTTAAAGGCCAAATGAGATAATCTTTATTATAATTAAGATTGAGATTGAGATTTTGAGAAGTACGTGCAATTTTATGCATTTGATGTGTCGTTTTCATTTACCCCAGTGCCGCAAAGGCTCCCACCTACGGTGGGGTAAGGGGGGGTCGGATGTACGCAGTCTTACCCCTGTACTAAAGCACATAGACTGTTTCCGGATGACCCATAGTGAAAATCCCGTCCAAAATTGCATGGACTGACTGCTGCTTCATAACAAAGAAGCGCAGACAGTTTAGTGAGCCATTTTGCTTTATTCCATCATAATCTCAAGCCAAAAATAATGAATCTTTGGCTCCATTGCAAATGATGGAAATATGCATTTGATGTGTATTGTATGTAATTAGATGTGTACATATAATCTTGTATTCTGTATAAAAGTCATCCAAATAGCGTCATTAGTGGGTATCTGCTGTAAAGTTTTCGGTGTAGGGTCTCGCTATCTGGGACTGACAACACTGGTTTTGATGCCTACCTCAATGTAGTGCTTAAAAGCACCCCTTTTAGACACTGCCTGCTGTGCACAGTCTTGAATCATTAAAAAAAATTAAAGCAATGATAGTCCATGTTTTGGCATTCTTTTATAATGAATGTGCACGTTTCATAGCTTAATTCTCTTTGCACTATTTGGGTGATTGTGGGTTGTTTATACCTTTATCAGTGTGATTTGCTTGATATGCCTGCTGTGGCACAACTGGAGAAAGATGCCAGATATGCACCAGTATATCAACTTCTCAGGATCTTGCTGACCCAGAGATTGAATGCATACTTGGAGTTCGAAGCATCAAATTCTACTTTAATGAAAACCCATGGTAATTATATACTCCATTACTTGAGCTATGGGCATAAAGATGCATTAGTTCTCAAGAGCTGGGCACATGAAGTGTTTATTTTATTTTTATAATAATTTAGGTCTAGTTCATGAAGACTGCATCACAAAGATGAGGCTGATGTCTTTGGTCGACCTGGCCTCCAATGATTCTGGCCGAATTCCTTATGCTGTGATCAAGGATGTTCTGCAGGTTTAATCTTTATGTTATTGGCTGAGGGAAAATTAAATACATTTTTTAACTTTTGTCTTTTAGATATTTTTACATTTAATTTATTATAAGGTTCTTTAGGATCATTTCTTTTTGCCCGAGAAATGCTCTGATCTGTTTCTTTAACTATCTGGTCAAAATAAGTCCCACTCGGAAGTAGGGACTGGGGATGGTTGATGGCTTGATGTTTAGTTTTCTTCTCTGAAATGTCACTTCTACTCTGGTTTGATTAAAATTAGAACAATAAGTGAAAAACAAGGAAAATAGAACTGCACCATAGAATACATTTTTGGATAATTTGGTTGTTTTAGAGTTTCAAGCCTTGTAGGTAGTAGGTACGCATTTAATATGTTTGTTCTCATTCGTTACTGATCACTTTGGTGCATATGATGACTTCAGATTGATGTTAATGAGATTGAGTCATGGATTGTTAAGGCAATCACTGCAAAGTTAATCGATTGCAAAATTGATCAAATGAATCAAGTAGTAATTGTGAGGTATAATTTGAGTTTCCTCACGTATGCTTCAGTGACCTGCAAATTTTGGGTGTTGATTTTATGATTTAAGCTCTCTCTCTTGTGGAATGATATACCTAGCTATATTTGGTTTTACAGTCATGCTATTGAGCGTGTGTTCGGCCCAAACCAATGGAAATCCCTCCAAACAAAGCTCGAGATGTGGAAGGTAATAATATTATTTGAATATAGCTCTGCCTGTTTCCACAAAAATACCTATTTAAAGCATTTTCCAAGGAAAATGTTATCTATCTAAAATTTTATGAAGTTGTTTTCTGCAAATAGATGTTCTATCATTCTACGTACTTGTGCAATACAGTTATACGTGTAATGATTGACCCACAGGGAAAGCATACAGTTTCTAGGAAATAACTACTGTCATTTCAAAGGTTTTTGCAAAAAGGGAATGTATTATTCACACAAGTCTAAAGAATCAATGAAAATATTTTCTGGTGGCTAACACATGAATTCATTTTTCTGTAAAACTTTATCTGCAAAACATAGGCATATTACAAAAAGTTGAGAAAACATTTTATTGCGAACAAAGAGAGCCATACTCTCATGTAGTCATGTTTACTGCCTTTTCCAACTTTGTGTTTTCCAAAGTCAATTTGCTACTGGGCTTTGATCTTTCTCACACCTTTCCCGTTGTGTCAATTACTCTCAACCCTTCCCCATTGTGTCAATTACCCTCACACCTTCCCCAGTGCGTCAGTATGTTCCTCATTTGACTCAAATAATCTAGTAGAAATTGTTTACGCTAAGCTATTTTAAAAGTCAAAACACATTTCCTTCACATGTCATGCTGCCATGCCTTGGTTGTTGTTACTCTGCCTCAAAGTCATATCTTCCGAGAGGAGCAGAGTACTTTGGGAACTCAAGGGGTAACTAGTTCACTTGAGCACAATGGTGGACTAGTAGTTACTATTTAACATTTTTAGCCTCAAGTAATTTCTCTTAAACTTTTGATGTTATGTTATATCTATTGATCAAACTTCTTTTGCAGGGCAATATTGCCAATCTTATAAGTACCATTCAAGCTAACAAGATAGTCGATGATGGTTCACAAGCTATGCAAGGGCTAATGATTCGCTAAGATTTTTGGTTTTGTTTTTAACGTGTTTCAATTTTCCATTTAGACATAGAGTAAAATGGCATCTAATGTACCAGTTACCGCAAGATTCTTTCTAGCCAAAACTTTGTGGTTCTTCTGAATAGTGAAAACACTCCTCTCCTGCTGGAAGAGATTTTCCCGTATTTATTCTCACTTTTGTAACAGAATTGTACCTTGCGTACATTTTTAATGAACAACGGTAAATCGTTGTACAGTTTTGCTGTTACTTTATTATTAATTTGTAATTTTGTTGAATGATCCAATTGAAAGCTTGCAAACAGAGGAAGTTGATTAGTATTTGACCTGAGCTAATTCTGGGTTAGTAAAAAGGTAACTGAACTTAAACATTACATGGGTTTTGGGTTTTGTGTTTGTTCTGGTTGTAGACTTGTCCAACTTTTGAGGAACTGATACCGGTTTTAAGTTTTAATAACTGGTTGTGGTCTGGAACTAGAAAAATGTGCCCCCTGTTTCGGTCTTGTCCAGCGACTCCAGTCTCGAACTGGGACTGGTTCCATGTTCCGTTAGGAGACATGAGTAAACTGTAAAAGTACCGTATGTTTCAATCTGTAGGTGTGGAAATTTACCCACTACTTCATACTCGTAATTTTTATTCTTTTTTCATGAAGCGTATCCAATTTGGGTTTGATTCACTTAATCTGAGTTAATGGGTGAATATAGCTGCAAGCAACCACCAACTGAAGTACATTTTCGTACTCGAGTCTCGAGTGGAGTCCCAACTCCCAACTCCCAATAGGAAATAGAAAGCTGAAAGCCTCTGGCCATTCCAGAGCTGCATCAAGTTTGTGGGGAAGGTTCATATAGGTCATGGAAAGTGATGGCTCCATTACTATCAATACTCAGGGCAGCCTCATGCCTTCATCCTTCACTTTTTGTTGCAAATGGAGTGCAGCACTGCAGCCTCCAAACCCACAATTATCTCACCCATCATTGGTCTTTTATGGCCTTGCTCATTAGTGATGGATTCGGGCCGGGTCGGGCCCGGTCGGGCTGCCGGTTCAAGAAAAGTGGGCCCGGGACCGGCCCGCGGGTTGGACGGGTCCGGTTCGGGCCGGGCCACCCGCCCGGGTCACGGGTCGGGTCCGGTTCGGGCCGGGCCGGTTATTTTTTTTTTTTATAATTTATATTTTATAATTTATAGTTTTATACGAGTATTAAAAACAAACTTCAATTGCATTTATTTGAAATGAAATAGGAACTACATTTGAAAATTAAAACAAACTTTAAGAGATAAACATTTTGAAAATTGTAATCAATCGGAACTTCCTGCACCTCCCGATCCTTTGGCTTTGTCACATGACTTCATATGCTTGATTGTCATCCCGAATTCGCCTGAAGCCCCCATTATACATTTTTTTTCGCACCATTTGCAAATTGCGTACCACATCCCGGTCTTCGGGTCCTTCTGCTTATCAAAATTATACCGTATAATGACATTTTGATTTTCCATCTTAACTTCTTGGAGAAGAGAATATGAGAGTAGATATATAATATATTGGAGAATAAGAGAATTAGAGAGTAGAGAGATAAGAATAGGAAGAATTGGAGAAGAGATATGAAAAAATGTTTAAGATTAGGAGTATTTATAGGTTTTTTTACCCCCCCACCACCCAACCCCCCGGACCCCCCCTATAACCCACCCAACGGCTATATAGTCGTTTGGGTTGTCCCCACCCCCACCCCCAACGGCTAGTAGGAGCCCAACCCAATTTTTTTTTTTTTTAAAATTGAGCGAACCGGACCCGGGCCCGACCCGGCCGGGCCGGGTCACAAAAATGCTGAACCGAGCCCGCCCCGCCCGTTCCCCCCGGTTCGGGCCCAGACCCGGTCCCGGACCGCCCGACCGGGCCGGTCCCGGGCCCGCACAGTACCGGGCCGGGCCGGGTCACGGGCCGGGTGGCCCGAACCGAATCCATCCCTATTGCTCATGTAGACAGCTCTTTGTAATGTTGATGAATATCCTAAGCCTAAGGCAGTCTGCTGATATTGTCCATCAATGTTTATAAGAGTTTTTTTCCATTTTCGGTCGCCTGACTATTATGTCAATGACATTTTTGTTACTTCACTTCTAATTTTTCCATTTTTAGTCCTCGACTATAATGCTAGAGACACTTTTAGTCTCCGACTTCAAGATTTCCCACATTTAGTCCCTAAGTATTGTCAAATCGACACTTTTAGTCCTCTCATTATGATTTTGACACAATAAGTGGATGACTAAAAATGTCACTATTATAATAGTTGAAGGATCAAAAGTGTCACTTTTATGAAAGTTGAAGGACTAAAATATGGAAATTTTCAAAGACAGGTACCAAAAGTGTCTCTAGCGCAATAATCAAAGACTAAAAATGGAAAAAATCAAAGTCGAGTACCAAAAGTGTCAATGACATAATAGTCGGAGGACTAAAAGTGGAAAAAATTCATGTTTATAACTATGCATCTTGCGTATGAGTTATGACCTGAACCATTGGGCAATACTTTCCCGATCTTTGTCTGTCTGGTGTTTCATTTCAAAGTTGCCACGAGGAAGTGAGGAAAGTAAAGGATCTACCCTCTCCTTTAAAGAGCTTTGGCATTCCAAACAAACGCCATCAGCTCAACTTTTCTTATGGAAATTAAAACATAATATACTGCCTTTCCCTCCTAATCTTTACAAATTTAAAACTCTTTTACCATCTATTTGCCCATTTTGCCAAAACTATTCAGCAGATATGGATCATTGTTTATATGCCTGTCCTTTGGCATTGCAGGTGTGGCATTATTTCATGAGGCTACTTCAAATTCCTAAGCCCTCCTTTCATGGCTCATTAAAGCATTTATTGATTACTTGGTGGCTTGAAAAATACAGTAGCAATATCGGATGCTTCTTTAAGAAGATTCTACCCGGTGTTATAGCCTGGTTTTTGAGGAAACCTTACTCTAGTTTACACTTGGGGTGACAGCTATTCCGCCAGTAAGCCACCTTATTACAATCATACAGAAACATACTATCCTCCGTTCCGTTTTAATCGCAACATATTGAATTTTACACTATTCACATGCTCTATTTTGACTACATTTTACGTTATTATTTTATGAAAATTATTTTTAAAAAAATATTGTTCAATTCAGCTCATTGCAAATTTTCAAAATCTGATTTTTAATATTTTTTTTACTAATAGAATTAAGATATAATTATGGTCAAAGATGTGCGTTGGCAAATGTGAAATGTTGACCGTTGCAACTAAAAAAGAACGGAGGGCGTATGTTTCTTTGGTGTTCTAGTTTGCATGGAACCAAATTTGGGAAATTCAGCCACTCACTAAATGAGGAGCATCTGATACCCAACTGGAACTACAAACCATGCCTTGAAACATGGCACAAACCCATCTCTGGCTTGAAACTTAATATCCATATGTCAGAAACGTGTTTTTGTGATTATACTAAACACTCTTTTTCCATTACTAATTACAAGGTGCACTACAATTCATGTTAATGTGTATCAGAAAGGTGTTTTGTGATATTACTAATCACTCTGTTTTCTTTACTTATTACTCCTTCCGGTCCCAAATGAAATTCACACTTTGACTTCACACAAATTAAGGAAATAAATTTGACTTTACTGTAGAGCACACTGTTGTGACACTGTTTGACACTGTTTTGCACTGTTTTGACGTAGATAATTTGCCAAATAAGGAAGAGAGAAGAAGTGTGAAGTTTATTGTGGACCTACCCAAAAAGGAAATGTGAATTTCATTTGGGACCGGAGGAAGTATAAGTCTTGTTTGTGGTAATTCAAATTGGGTGCATTACGTACTATGATGCTCAAGTGCATGGAATGGAATCGTTTGAGATATAAAAAAAACTGATTATATATAAAATAAAAATGATTTCAAGGTGGTAGATACTTAGATGCACACTAACTAATGAAAAATGCATGTATGTAGTCCATATACATTTGTCATGCATTTTTTGGACGCAAATTATAAGTTTAAGTATAATAATTTTGTGGAGGTTGAGTTGATGGAGATGTGCACTGTGGGAACAATTTAGTTTTAGTGGTTAGAAAAATGAAAAGAAGATGCACAAACCAAAGAACCCATTAAAGTAAACACATTCAAAAGGCAAAATTTTATAAAAAGAAACAAAATATTTTGTTTTAGTAAACGGAAAAGTAAACTTACGTGAGAATTAAAATAAACAATTAATGTGATAATGTTTATTCTCTCCTTCCTAAAAGTGCGCACCATTAAGACTTGTTCTCATTTGAACCAAAATCTCTCTCTCTCTCTCTCTCTCTCTCTCTCTCTATATATATATATATATATATATATATATATATATATATATATATATATATATATATATATATATATATATATATATATATATATATATATATATATATAGGGGTGAGATCAATACAAACCATGCTTAACTTACTAAACTACAAACTCAATAATATGCAACACTTTTAACTTTAATATGCAGTACAAATAATGTAAAGATGCACTCTTTGAATTTCAATATGCAATACAAATAATGTAAAGATGATTTGAATGAGAGGATTAGTTTGTATGCGATCCCACCCCTGCATATTTATATTATTTTTACTTCATATTGAAGTTTAAAGTGATGCATATTATTGAGTTTGTAGGTTAGTATTTTAAGCATGGTTTTTATTTGATCTTTTATCTACGTGTATATATATATAGAGTAGTGTTCCGGTCAGGCCTTCCTGACCGGAACCGCCGTCCGGCAGACGGCTTTTAGGGCTCTTCCCTGTAGATTTTTTTTATTAAATTTTTATGACATGTTCTTCATCAAGTCTAGTTTATCCACAAAAAAAATCAGCTAAAAACTCAACCCGGAAGGTTGTCAAATGATTTTTTGAAGTTAACTGCGCAAAACAATACATATAAAACGCAGTTAACTTCCAAAAATCATTTGACGACCTTCCGAATTGAGTTTTTAGCTTTTTTTTTGTGGATAAACTAAACTTGATGAAGAACATGTCATAAAAATTTCATCGAAAAAAGCCACCGGGAAGGGCCCCACACGCCGTCGTCCGGACGGCGGTTCTGGTCCGGAATTCCGGACCTGAACATTTGTGTATATATATAGATGACGGATCATATCAGGCCGGTCTGACGAGAAGCTCCGTCCTGCCGAGAGCATTTGGGGACCTTCCTGGTGGAATGTTTTTGATGAATTTTTTTGAAATCTTCTTCATCAAGTCTAGTTTATCTATACCAAATTTCAGATAAAAATTTCATCGGGAAGACAATCAAATAAATTCTTTACAAAAACTGCTCCTTATATATATAAACAGCGCAGTTTGTTTGAACAATTTATTCGTCTGTCTTCCCGATTGAATTTTTAGCTAAAATTTGGTATGGATAAACTAGACTTGATGACGAACATGCTCACAAAATTTTATCAAAAAATTCCATCGAGAAGTGACTGAAATGCCCTCGGCCAGACGGGACTTCCCGTCAAGCCGGCTGGACAGGAACGGGACTCTCTCTCTCTCTCAAAGTCTCAAATTTTACGCTCTCTTTGTCGCAGATTGCCGTTTATGTTTCTTTTTCTTCCGTCTTTGTTTTTTTGTTCGGCTGCGTACGTTTCTTTCTTCCGTTCTCTTTGTTGTCTTTCTTCCGCTAGTCTTTGTATTCTTTATATATTTATTTTTTAAATAAATAAAAAATATAAATTTTGTAAATATATAACCATATAACAATCTTCCCTAAACACTAATCCTAATCGGAATTTTATCAATTTTAAAAAATACGGAGTAATAAATATGGTTTGTCGAATCTGTGAATCTGATTGTTTAACTTTATACTGTTGATACTTTATAAGTTTATTATATAACAATTAGTCGATTATATATGAGACCTTGTTGTTATTAATAATCTTTATATAGAAGTTTATTTAATTTACTATTAATTGCTTAGGATTAGTATTAAGTATTAACAGTTTATTGTAAATATATTTACTATTAATAGAAGTATTTTGTAGAAGAGTGCTTCATGTAGAAGTTGTTTAAATATATTTTACCACAGATATGTGGTTTAGATCGGTGAGGAGCGCACGTCATCGCCTTGCGCCTCGCGCCTCGGGTAAATTGATGGATCGCCTCATGCCGCCTCACGCCTTTTAAAACTAAATCAGTAACTAATAAGTACACACATATCTAGAACAAACAAACTTTAATTATACCCCTATCATATTTAATCACTATATGTGAATCATATATACAACAAACACTTCCTAAATTTGAGTTGATGGTGAATAAAGTTGCAAGCACCCACCAGCTGAAGTACATTTCCGAACTCCTGTGGAGTCCCAATAGGAAATAGCAAGCCTCTAGCCACTCCAGAGCTGCATCAAGATTCCTGAGAAGGTTCACATAGGTCATCCAAAGAGATGGCTCTGTCACTATCAATACTCATGGCAGCCTCATCCTCCATTTTTTCTTGCAAACAAAGTGCAGCCCCCAAACCCGCAATTATCTCACCCATCGTTGGTCTTTTGCGGCTTTCCTCCTGTAGACAGCTCTTTGCAATGTCCATGAACATGCTATGGCAGTCTGGTGATATTGTCCCATAAATGTTTTTGTCTGTGCATCTTGAGTATGACCTGAACCACTGGGCAAAACTTATCCGTTCCTGATTTGTCCAGTGTATCATTTCACAGTTGGCACTTAATATTTCGAGTAGAAGCCCACCAAATGCAAACACATATGACTTTTCTGATGCTGGTTCTCGCACATAGACGGATTCCTGATATTCTCCTTCGAAAAGGCCAATATAGTCCGCCCTTCTTGACCAACGAATGTCTGAAACTTTAGCAGCCCAATTCTCATCCAGTAGAATGTTGGTGGAGTTGAAATCGCAATGAAGCATGCTCTGTTTCAAGATAGGCTGAAGGTATTTCAAACCATGTCCAGCATCAATGCAGATCTTTAGCATCTGCTTCCATGAAAGAGGATCTTTACGGCTGTCATGGAGATAATCATACAGACTACTACCCTTTTCCACGTAATTGTATACAAGCATAAAGCTACCCTTGTCAGGCGGGTCGCAGTATCCGATTAGAGAAACAACATTAGGATGACTGGGCAGTGAGAGTTTGTCTAGTTTCAATTGTAGCTCAAAAGCCATCTGAATTGATGATGGTTCAGTTATAGCAGTTCTGATGGCTATCCATTCCCCGTTCAGATATCCGATGTACACCTTATCCGTTTCCACGTAACCGATAACAGAACTCTTGCTGAAATTCTCAGTGGCCTGTTTGATGTCCTTGTGAGAGAAATGGAGAAGCCCTTCAAATTGTGTTGTTGAGGAGGGGTAAGCTTCTATCTTGGATGGCTGTGTTGAGGGATCAACTTTTATCTTTGATGGCTGTGCTGAGGAAGAAGGTTTTGCCCCTGTAAAGCGTTTCAAGAAACCACGCCAGGGAGCTGGTGCACTTCTTTTGGTGGAACTCATCCTTTTCTTCTCCATGTGAATCATGTCTTTGCCTTTGCCTATTACTAATTCTTCCGAGAAGGGTCCAGATAGGTCGTCGGAAGAAAAGGCTCGATCACTATCAGTACTCATGACCACCTCCTCCGCCTCCCCCTTTTGTTGCAAAGCCAGGGCTAGTTCAAGCCTTGACACCACATGAGCCATATCTGGTCGTCGATGTGGCTGTTTGCGCAAACATCTTCGCACAATATCAACAAACTCCTCCAAACAAGCTCTAGAAACTTGCCCCGCCAAACTGGTCTCTACGATTTCATGAACGTTTCCTTTCCTCATGTAGCCTGCAGCCCACATTGCAAGACTTTTTTGCTCCATGACAAGCCTCTTATCCAGTGCAGCTCTACCGGTCAGCACTTCAAGCAACACAACTCCGAAAGAATAAACGTCAGACTTGGTTGTCAATCTTCGAGTCAAGAAGTATTCGGGATCGAAGTAACCAAATGTTCCCTTGACGTCTGTGCTAACGTGAGCGAACGGCTCATCCCGATGCCCCATTTTGGACAAACCGAAGTCCGAAATCTTCGCCACCCAATCCCCGTCGAGAAGAATGTTTGAGCTTTTCACATCGCGGTGTATGATGACATTATGGCAGTTGAAGGTGTGAAGGTAATGCAATCCCTGTGCAGCGCCTATTGAAATCTTGAGTCTCATTTCCCAAGAGAGCGGCAGGTTCCCGGTTGAAATATGGTGGAGATGATCTTCAAGTGTTCCTCTAGGCATGTACTCATAAATCAATACCCTCTCATTTCCTTCATTGCAGAAGCCAATTAGGGAGACCAAATGTTCATTTTGGGTCTCAGATAGCATTTTGATCTCCGTCTGGAACTCATTATCTCCCTGCCTAGACCCTTCCTTCAAGCGCTTTATTGCCACAACAGTCGCTCCCTCATCAATATATCCCCTGTACACTTTACCATATCCACCAGCTCCAATAAGGAACTCGTGGCTAAAGCTATTTGTGGTTACTTGAATCTCCTCAAGCGAGAATTGCCGAGCAGTTTGATCCGCATCTGCGGTTCTACATCTCATGGCGGAGTTAGCTTCTGATAGACGACACCTTAGGCTATAGACAATAATGTTCAGCATAACGATTGCTATTGTGAATGCTGATGCAATCCCATTCTTTCTGTCAAAATAAGAGATTGCCTGCCTCCTCTGGTGATCCCGCCCTGGAATGACGAATGAAAATATTAGTACGCACCCCTCAGGCATACTCCATCCCACGACAACAGTGCGCATATTTCGTTTTGATTACTTGGTAAGTATTATAGATAAATACTTTCATAAGAGTAAAAAAATTATACTTTGGCACAAATATATTAGATAAAATAATCTCCCAAGTTTACCACACTTGATCCAAATGGCGGGAGGGAGCATGAGAATTAGACATAACTATATACGAAGTATTATAATTCTTGCCTGGAATCTGCTTTGATAGTAATGAACTTTGTAAAGCAGCAGCAAGAGAGTTGTCAGGGTTACTCAACTTGAATATTTCTAAGCCGCTCAGAATTCCTTCTCTTTGTTTACAGCACAACTCATCCGAGTTGCGCTGCAAACTTATGAACAGATTCCCGCTCCCTTCCACCCCCACCCCCACTGCTATATAGTCTTTAAACACCGGCACTCCATGCCCGCCGCTCCATTTAACCACATCCGCGTTATCCTCAGCCACCTGATTATTTATCAGTATCTTGAACTGCCTCTCACCTCTTGCTGATATTTCAGGGTCGATTTCGCAGAAATGGAGCCTGATTAGATACCTGAATCCCAAATCCGCTCGAATTCTCCACGTGAGATCGTCATTCCTATGAACATTCATCTTCCTAGCTGTTTGGTAAATCATGAGAGGAGCAACAACATTATGAGTCTCTGAATGCTTTATTCTCATGGCGGTTTCAATGGAAGCACCAATCCCCCTTCCTCCGCGGCCCGGCGAAAGGAGGTAGCCATAGTCATCTTCCCAGTCCTGAAACATGGTAACATCTTTTTCCTGTACAGATTTAACTGAATGTCCTCCCACGTTTAATCTCACCACCATCTCCATAGCCGTTGTCGTATCAATGTAGAATCTGTGTTTCTGGCCGACAACGTGGGACCCCTCCGGGGTGAAATAAAGACCAGTCTGCATTGAGACAATCTCTATGCCGTTGATGAAAGCATAGCTGATGGGTGATGATGGGATGAATGTTATAGTCAACAGAGGTTGACTTTCTTGAACATTAACACAGAATTCCTTGCTGACAACCAGAGAATCAGCAGCAGCGAGGGAAGGACTAAAACATCTGAGGAGAGTGTACAGCCCTGCTTTGACCGTAAAAAGGGCCACGGATTTCTCGTAGCCCTTGTACGGGGATGGGTTGAAGTGAAAACGAACAAAGTTCGGGCCGGGCCTGACTGAGAACTGGTAGGTGAACTGGCGGTGAGAAGCCCGAGCTGTCTGGTACGGGACGGGATCAATCAAGACGGTGACTTTGTGTTGGGCCCTACAAGACCAAGATTTCCCTTTTAAGGAGACGGTGTTATCCCCAACCCACCGCCGCCCGTCGTGTGCAGTCTTGTTTCCAGAAGAGCCGCATGACACGGCCGTGTTCTCGATTGGGTAATCGGCGGTAGAAGAAACGACAGAGATGATTGTCAGGCCATTCAGCAGCGCAAGAATGATGCGCAGAGGGTGATGATATTGATACATTTTGTTGCTTTTTAGGTATCAGTTTCAACTGATTCTTCAGTCTCGTTGAGCAAAAAGCCAAGATTTTGGTCGGATAGAAAAAGGAAAAAGTATAGAGGATGAATCTTCTACGAAGTATAATGTTGGATTTGGGACTGCAATGTCCATTTCGTCGGCTTGACCAGTTCACATGCATGAGTGAAGTGCATCTCGTCAACCGTTTTTCTTGTTCTAAAAGTTTGAATACTCGACTCCAAGTCTCCAACGTCCAAGAGCGGCCCCGGATGGGCCCTAGGCCCAAAAAAGTGAAAAGTAACCAGGTTCAATCAACGTCGATCCCGAGAGAACGGAGGCCCTGTGCAACAATAAAATTTGGGCCTTTTTTCAAGTTTAAACGCAAGCAAATTGTCTTACAATACAAGTTACTAATAAACATAATAATTAAAATGAAAAAAGTCATTAATAATTGTACATGTTTATAAATTTTAAATTAATATTCAGTTTAAAATTAGGGTGAAAGCATGAATGACTATACTAGTGTATAATTATAATTTATCAACCTCAAGTTACCAATTTATCAACATGAAGTTATCAATTTTAATTGCTAAACACATTTACAAAATTACACATTTATTATCAATTCAAATAATGATTTACTTTAAATGCAAAAAATCAACAAATAACAACAACACAACAATTCAACAAACATTAAATCTGAAAATAAACAAATTACAAGATTTCAACAAACAATTCATCAATTCAAATATTCAATAAATCGAAAGTTCACAAGAATTAGCAAATTAGCAACTAAATGAATAAAAGAATTAGCAAATTAGCAACTGACTGGAAGGAGGGCATCTGAGGGAGGCCGGAGGGCGGCGGAGGCGGTCGGCTGCGGGCTGCTGCGGAGTGAGGTGTGCGTTCAGCGTTCGAGTCGTGGAGAGCAGTAGAGGCCCGAGGCCCGAGGGGATGTCGGACTGCGCAGGGCCGGCAGGGGATTTGGGGTCGTCGGTTGCGGAGAGGCGCCGGCGGTGTGCGTTAGAGGCTGGAGTCGTTGCCTCGTCGGTTGTGGTCCTGTGGAGAGGCGGTGTCGCTTTGTCGTGAAGAGCAGCGAGCAGCCGAGCAGGAGAGGGGGGATTTGTCGATTTGAGGCTGGGGGAATTGATTTGGGCTAAAAACTTATGGGCTGGGGGTAATACTAAATTTTTTTTGGGCCCTCCAAAATACCGGGCCCTGTGCGGTTGGGCTGGGCAGACAGGCCCAGGGCTGGCCCTGGGTTCAATATAGTGGAAATTACCCGACTGGTCTCCTTTTATCGACCGTATTTCATTTATGTCACGGTACATTTATTTTTTCATCTTCGAACATTCACCTTTTCAGTTTTGATCTTTTGAATATTTTTTAATTTCAATATAAGACTTAACCAGTGAACCGTTCAAGACCTACCCCTGCAACGCTCTCTATTCTTCTCCCCTAAGCAAAGTTCATCTCCCCTATATTCTTCTGACACTGGCGTCTAACCTTTGCTCATCCCACCATCTCCTTTCCTATTCTAAATTCTGTTTCGTTTCTGTCAACTATGGCAGATTTCTTCTCCTCAAAGCATAGTCATCTCTAATCGTTGATGGAACTGTGTTCGGAATCCTTGTCCCAACGCCGTCTGGTATCCAAGCGATCGATTTGATGGTCTCTAGGCTAGGAACAAAGAGTCTTCGCTCCATGTGTTTCCGTAGAAGATTAGAGAGTCGATCCTCCTCCGACATCCAGGTGAGAGCTTTTCCGATGCAAAATAGTGTTAACTTTTGTCGCATTAACCATCACTTTCTTCTATTCAAAACTTAGTTTCATCGGATTAAGTTAAGTAGTTAACATTTGTCAAACTCACAATCTGGTATTAAAATAGAAAACAATCAAAAGATAAAAATTAAAAAGTCTAAGTAGAGGCACTAGCTTTTTGGTTGAACAATGTGGAAGTGATGATGAGATTTTAGTTTCTTCTGCCATTGTATATTATGTTCTACAGAAGGATGGTCTTCACTCTGCAAGAGTGATGCACAGGCGGTATGTTGTAATTATTCGATGCAATGGTATTTTGATTTACATCTGGGGGCATATTTGTAGGGCTTAGCCTCTGTCTCTCTCTCTTTCTATTGACACACACACACAAATATTCATATATACATTTGATATTCTACAAAAATTGAAGTATTTACATAACAGGTGATCGTATAACATTTCAGTCATCTCATATTCATTTTTAAAAACATTATGGTTATCAGGATAAAGTCTAAGCCTCCAAAGTCCAAACCGATCCATTAAAATAGATCCTAAGAGTCTAAGTGTGATGCTTGCTTGTGACTTCTTTTAGCCTTTGTTTGTGTTTCATATGATAAATTAAAAACCACTACAAGTTTAAAATAGTAAAAGTCTAAATTGTTCGGTCGCATATGAAATACTCAAGTCCCAACAAGTAACACCAGAAGACAAAGAAGAAAGTGATAATGTGGTATGCTTTGTTTACAGATCATCTACCTCAACCGTTAATCTTTAATTTCTCTGGTTCACTTGATATTTCATTAGTAGAGAAAGAAGCAACAAGGAAGTAGGACAAGGGTGAAGAATAATAATAAGAAGAAAATGATAAAAGTGGTTCATGTATATATATACCCAGGGGTGAATCTAGCATTTACGTTCAGGTGGGGCCAAAATTTAATTAAATAACGTATATTATAAAAAAATGTCAAAATGTAGTACAGTATAATAATATCTTAGAAGTCAAAATGTAAATTATAGAAATGTCAAAGAATAAATTGAATATTACAGAACCGACAATACAATTATCTTAAAAGTCATAGATATCGAACCGAAGTTTTATCGGTTACCCAAATGTTTAGTGCCAATTTTTAGGTTAGTTTCTCGGAAACAAGATAAACCGATTTTTTTACTCTAAAATCTATACTCTATGTAAAGAAAACTTATTTTCACCTACGAAATCCAATGTATTCAACTAATTAATTTTTCGGTCAATATTCAAAAGCCCAATGAATTAAACTAATTAATTTTTAAGACAATATTCAAAAAGCTCAATCAATTGAACTAATTGGTTTTTCAGACTAATAAAGCCCAATTAGTTGGACTACTTAATTTTTGCATCCTAGTATTCAAAAGTTAAAATTCAGACTTGATTTGTGTAAGATAGCATGTTCCTGGACTTGGATGGAAAATACAAAAAAAAAGGCTGCTCCAGCTAGGAATCAAACCTATAACCTCTACACTGCCAATCACGCCTCTACCATCACACCAACGTAACTTTTGTTTACAATAGGATGTTTGTTCTAATTATACCATTTCTTCCCAGTACATATTAATATATATATATATATATATATATATATATATATATATATATATATATATATATATATATATATACTAGTAATTTCTTTTTTTTTGAGGTGGGGCCTAGGCCCTCCCTGGCCCTATGCCAGATCTGCCCCTGTATATACCCAGTTTCTTCTGGGAATTAGCTTCCTAGTGTAACAATTTTTTATGCCTTTAAATATCCACTGCTGTATGGCTTAAAAAGTGTGTTCCTGCCATCATGACCTGGCAGATGGCCGTTGAAGGCTTTACTGAGAGAATTGTAAACTTCATGAAGAGCCAATTAAGTCTCCTAATTTCTTTGGGTTTTCTGCTATGACTCTCTTCATCTTCTTTGGTTGAAGGCATCATTTTCTTACTATCCCTTCCTCACTTTTCAAATTTCTCCTTTTCTAGCTGCACTGAGGTAACTGATGGAAGACCTGGAACAATTGTTATTGAATTATTTGTGGTAGATCCGTAGATGTGCCTGAAGGGAACATAAAGATGAGACCTGCTACTTTGTTGAAGCACTGCTTTTGTTGTCACATTTTTGTCATAGTCATTGTGATCTAATTGCAGGAACGTATAAGAAAAGGAAGTTCATGAAGATTATAATATGGCTGAGAAGATCAACGTCAATAATAAGATAAAAGAGTCAAGTATGAAGAATTGTGTGCCAAGATGCCTCAAAAGAAGAATGAATGACAAGATGCAAAGTCAAATAATATAATACGCAGTAGATAAATGTAATACATTGAATAATAGATTGAGTTATATATTTATACTTTATAGTGATACGTCTATATGATGCTTTTGTTGCTTTTTGTTGTATATTGCGCGTTGCATTTTGTTGCATCATGTTTCTTTTTGTTGTACTACGTATCATGTTTCACTTTGTTGTATGATGTGTTTTGCTTTTTGTTTCATTTTGTATAATATTTGTTGCTTTTTATTGCACCGTGTTGCTTTTTGTTGCACCGTGTTGCTGAGTGTTATTTATCAATGGTTTTAATATTTATTATTTATTTATATTTCTACTCACCTATGATGCTTCTTTGCAATGAAAAGTAATATACCAAGTACCAACTATAACAAGAAACCTCAAAAAACAATTAAAAACAAAAAATTTCAAAGTTGTAAACAAAAATAAACACAAAGAAACAATAAGAGACAAAAACTAACATCAAAATGGTAATAACAATTATTAGATTTTGTAACCATTTTTAAAGTATTGAGTTACAAATATCATTTTCTTTTTACATTTTTCAAAAAAATCAAGGTATACTTTTTTTACATTTTTTTTAATTTTCACACTTTTTATTTCTGAATTGTTATTTTTACACGCTTTTTATTTACTGTTTTTATTTTATTTTATGAATTTATTTTTGTTTTTCATTTTTTCTGATTTTACTTATAGATTTATTAAAATTTTCACTTATAGATTTATTAAAATTTCACTTATAGATTTATTAAAATTTCTTACATTTTTTGTTTTTTGTTATTTATTTCTAATATTTAGATTCCTTTTTATTTTAAAAATTTGGTTTGAATCTTAAACTTCAAAATTTATGTTAAGCTTTTGTTCTTTCTTTGAGTTTTTTTTATATTCTTTAGATTTTTATTTCTTTTCTAAGTTTTTGAACTTCTTACATTTAATAAAATTTTACATTTTTTCTAGTTACAAAAAAGAATTGAGCAATTATGGCTTAGCAAAGATTATACGAGTATAGAGAGAGAGTGAACGTATATCTCTTAGGAGATTTGTACAAAGTACGGAATGCATTAGTCCAGGAGAAACAATAGCCGTGCCAGATGAGCAATAGCCGTACATGGTCCATTTGTGAAAGGAAGAATTCAGTTTGACTATATTTGAAAAAACTTTGAAAAGTGAAAAAAAAATGATATTATTTTCCTTATTAGCTTGTTCGTGAAAATTTCCCTTCAATATATAGGTTTCATACCAGTGGTAATTACTCGTTTGGTATCTTTTTTACAGCCGTCTTTCATTTATGTCTCAACTTTTTTGCCTTTTCATTATTAGACTTTTAGAATTTCAATTTTATTTGTTTATTTCAGTTTTAGACTATTTCTGACAATCGCCCTCCACGTTCTATGAAATTCGCACCATATTGAACCTCTTTCCCATTTTCGTTTCTCTTGTTTCCCGTCTTCCAAACTTAACATTTCTTCTGCTTCGTATCTTCATCTTTGGTTCGTCTTCTCCGTCGCTTTTCTTCTTTCAACTTTGTCTGTGAACTCTGTTATTCCTTTTTCCTCAACAATGTCAAGTTCTAATACTCATCGTCGTATTACGAGAGCTTCGTCTGTGATGAATATTGGTGGAACAACTTCTGGCCCTCAGGATGATTCCGCTTCACTGTCTCATACTTCAAGTTCAAATGTCACTGGTAAGAAGCGAAAAAATAAAAAAACCTCTGAAGGCTCGGAAGAAGGCTAAAGTCTCTGCAAATGTGCAATGTAAGAAGTCGAAGATGTCCATGAGTCAGGCGAAAAGTAAAATTAATGCTCCTTTATTTAAGGTAATTATTTACATTTTTTGTTTATTTTGTATTATTGTTGTATTTTTCACATGAAATTTCTTGTTTCATTTGTTTCGATTTGTTTTAATTTTTTTTTGTTGATTTCGTTTTTTCATTGTTGTACTTCAGGAGTGGGAGTATTTTTTTTCCTTGTCAGTCATGGTTTAATAGTAGGGTTTGTAGTTGTAACAAGGATTGCATTCCTGATAATCTGAAGTCCAAATTGTCAGAAGTTCAGTTGAGTTTATTCAGGCAAACCTGCTTTGGTAAATTCCTTGATTTCAAAGACATGAAATTTCAGCCTCAACTTGTGCATTGTTTGCTTCTTCGAGAAATTAGTCACAATATTCCGAATGAGATCTGGTTTGATGTTTCTGGTTATCGTTTGCGATTTTCAATTGTCGAGTTTGCAGTTGTTACTGGTTTGAAATGTGTTGGTGAGTTTGATTGTTCTACTCTTACTTATTCCGACAGTAATGACCTTATCAAAAAATATTTCAACAATTCTTCTAAAGTAAGTCGTGAAGAAATTGAAAATTCTTTTCTTGGTCAAAAGGCTGATTGTGATGAAGATGCTGTTAAACTTGCCATTCTTTATGTTCTTGGTTTGTTCGTCTTTACTTCGTCTAAGGAAAAGTATATTACTGACACTTATCTGGATGTTGTGAATTCTGGTCTATGTGATTCCTATCCCTGGGGCAAGGACCTTTTTGAATTGACCTTTGCAAAATTTGAAAGGAAGACTTGTGAGGGCAGATACTTCAGAAAGTGAGTACTTCTTCTGCCGTATTTTGGGATTTCCATTAGCTCTTCAGGTGTGGTTTTATGAGTGTTGTGATTATTGTGATGGATGTTTGCTTTTAGATCTGGTTCTTTAGTTCCCCGTTTATTGTCTTGGCAATCTTCTATTGCATTCAGTTACAAGAAGTTAAATATGGAGCTTCTTTGTTTATCTGCTTCTCAGGTATTCTTAAAATTTTCTTCCATATCTTTTTATTGTTTTTATTATCTTTTTCTTACATTAAATTTATTTTCTGTTATTTCTTTATTTGCCATTTGAAGTTGCACAACATTGTTATTAATGATCTTGAAAAGGAATCTGTTGAAATAGCTTCTTTGTTTGCTGCACATCCGATAAGGCCCCAAACTATGCCTTCTGTTTTAAATTCTAGCCACGGACCTAGTACTTCTTTTGGTGATTAGTTTTCAAGCTCCGTTGTAGTCGATTTTCAAATCCGCCTTGAGAGTAAATTGATTGATTTCAAAAAGTTTGTTGAGGATAGGTTTAATGTGTTAGAACAGAAGCTTGATCGTGTTGCTTCAGTTTATCATGTCCAATCTAACAAGGAGACAGTTTCTCAACACACTCCTATTATACATGAGCCAGTGATTTCAAATGATGTTTGTGGTGCTGCTAATACAAAGGAGCTTTCTGATGATGATGTTGTTGGCACTGTTGATCTTGATTCTGTTCATTTAGATCAAACATTTAATTATAATGACTCCAGTGGGCAAGCTTCAGATCATGAAACAGTTACGTTTCTGTCTCTTTTTATATTGTTTCTTTATTATGTTTTAATTTGTTGTTTTTTGTTTCACTTTTTTTGTTTTCATATTTGTAACATGTTTTGTTTTTATTCTTATCATTCTGCAATATACACTTAACATAGAGCGAATGTCTTCAAATATTGATTCTTGAGGTACTGTTTAACTCTGATCTGGTTTGAGATTGAAAACTGTCTAAAAGAAAACATCTTAAATCTTCCACAGTACGCTAGAAAAAGTTCCCTTATTTAATTTAGATCCTCAGATCCTCGATTCCGCTAGGTTCATCTTGTCTGTCGGCAACTTCTCTCTCCATTTATCTGATGGAGGGAGTCAGGGAGAAACACGCAAATGTCATCCCATGCCATCCGGTGCAGTACAAATGGACGTATGTATGAAGCAGGGGCGGAGTCAAGGGGGTCAGGGTGATCAGCTCACCCCGTTGAAAGTATGAAAGTATAGAGCTTTGAAATATCTTTGATTTGATATATTATGGGCCCCGTAACTCATTACGGGTAAAAAGTTATGACTTCTGAAAAATCAGCACTATTTAAATGTAAAATCGGCAAAATTTTATACATACTATAAATCATTTTTTCAAATTTTTAAAAATAGGATATAAGTCACTCAATACTTACGTGACATGACTCAAAAATAGAGCAAACACAATCTATCTTATTGCTACGAGTGCCTATTTATCTAAACAGCATATAAAATATTTAACTCAGACATTGTTTAAAAACGATCCACTATTTTCATTGTGTATATAAGTTGGGTTTTGACCCTCCTCAGCCGTTTTTCTAGCTCCGCCACTGATATGAAGCATGAAAGTACCCATGCATTCATTCTTAAATTCACATTAATGCGCCAACCGTTTCGGTATCCATATTTTTTGGGCCGGCTGTATAGAGATGGTAGATAGGTGTATAATTTTTGCAATTTAGAATATGAAACTAATTAACAAAAAAATAACAAAAGAAGAGGGAGTGTTTATTACAAAAAACTTTATCATTTTCAAAATTTGACCAACTATATTTTCTATTGGAATTATTTATAATATAAAAATTATATAAAAATTTTCTTTGTATAAAAATACTTTTATAAAAGCATAAAATTTATAACTTCCACAATATTATAGATAGTATTATAGATAGTATTAATCAAAATAGAAATTGCCCAATATAGGAGTAAATATAAACATAATTGCACAAATAGGAGTAAAGCTTAAAACTTCCTTCAATAGGAGTAAACATTAATTTTGTACCCTTAATATCCCTAACCTAGTTAATTCTAAAATATGACTTATTTAATCCTAACCTAGTTAATTTATGACTTATTCGATAATAATAATTTATTAATATATTCATTTTTCAAAAAATAAAAACTATAAATTTTTTAAAAATAAAAAATAAAAAACTCAAAAAAATAAAATAAAATTCACCGCGCCTCTGCCGCCTCAGCACCACCACCTCCAGTCACCAAGGGAAAAAATGCCAAGTTCATTACGAATGCCATATTTATAGCAGAAAACAATGAAAATGTTGGCATTCTCAAAGAGAAATATGCCATGTTTTTTTGCATTTTCAGAAAAAAGGCAGTTTTTAGGAAAAATTGATTTTTTTTCACTGCCCGGAGGTGGTGGTGCAGGGAGGTAGTACAGCGGTGGGAAAGGCATCCATATTTTTTTTATTTTTTTATGGAGTTTTACTATTTTTTATTATTTTTTTTTAAAAAAAATAAAAAATTAAAAAAAAATATTTTTTATTTTATTATTTTTTTATAATTTTTTTAATTATTTTTCTACGATTTTTTGATTTTTTTTCAAATTTATTATGAATTAAACATTTAATTAAAAGTTGTTGGGGCTTGGGTAGGGGTATACTTGTCCAAACACTAAAGTTACTCCTATTCAAAACATGGTACTCCTATTTTTGCATTTTGCCTATGTTTTGCTCCTATTTGGGGAATTCTCTCTAATCAAAATCATAGTTTAAATTTTATGAAATGACACTTTTAGGGACAGAGGCTAAGAGGCTTTATATGTTTTTCAACAAAATTATCAATCTGGCCAAAAGGTGGACATCAAATGATGTAGGACAATAAAAAATTGAAACATCCATTTCATTTCATCAAAGCAAGTGGAAGAACCAATTACAGGTCATATAGTTTCAAATTAGATAGTAACAAAATGACACACTATGAATGGGGAGGATCAGATCAAGAGTGAAATTAATCCTCAGAAACAAAAAAATTAATTCCATTGAAACCAATCCATGGATCAACGAATACATGAGCGGTTCATCAAGTTACACTTCCTCTGGACGTTGAGTGCCTGGCCAAGGCAGCTGCCATACCTCAGCGCATTGCAAGCCGGGACGGTCTGCAGGCCTCTGTACACAATCCTCTCAAAATGGATGCCTGTTATATTAAAACCATTCGACGGTGGCGTTGGCGATGGAAATGGTGACGGTGAAGGTGATGGTGAAGGTAGCGGTGATTGTGATGGCGGGGATGGTGATGGTGATGGCGGTGGTGATGACAATGGCAGTGATGATGAGTTGGAAATGGTTGCAGGATGGATGTGCCTTATCCTCCTGTGGAAGCGGCGGAACTCTTCTGCTCCATCGCTGTTACTATTGCTACTGCTATTGCCGTAGTAATAATGGAGTTTGTTCTCATTAGCTGCGGTGGTGATCATGAAAATGTAAGTAGTGAGGAAGAAGAGAATGGCAATGTTATGTGCCATATTCACTATTGTTTTGGAGGGCTTGTTTCCCTTCAATATAGCAGGCAGTTGTATGGATATATATGCAATAATGGGTGCAAAACTAGGTAGGACAATGCACCTACCTATGTGACTGATATATACCTGTTTCTTTTAATTACCATTTAATTTGGACTTAAATAATTGGTCATTGACAGCCCCAACTTCATTATTCTGTCATCATAAATTCCCAACTGCCTTTTGCCCATACCTTAGACTGTGTTTGGATGATAAGATCCATAATCAATGGAAGGAGAATAGTTCATTTATCATCTTTGGGAGGGTACGTTCTAGGAAGAGGGGCGTCGGCTGTAAAAGAAGTAAATGGGAAAGTATTGTACGGTCGACCAAATAATCATGCAGCCTATGAACTACACTTTAAAGTTCCTAAACAGTTAAATTCGAATCTGATCACAGTCAACCTCGTCAATACTGGCTTCAAAGACGAATCCAGCATGATCTTTATCAGTTAAACTCTAACATCGTGAAGGTAGGAAGAATCATTGGGAGCAAGACATCTCCCATCTCCCCTAATTGTGCACGAGACCTCCCACTAGGTACGGTAACCTCACATCCAATGAGTTGGAATGCTTGGTTATCAATTTGTTTCCTTGTCCATACTTGCTGCCCTGCTTCGTATATACGAGGTATATAAGTGTACATGTTTTTACTTGGACTGAAATTTTCTGATCTGATGTAGTCTGATAAACATCTGATCTTTGTGTATTTTGTAACTAACCAAGTCTGATCTGATCAGTATGATCTGATCTGAATTGGTCGGGTCTGGTCTGAGACTTAAAACAGTCCAAGTAAAAACGTCTGTATTTCTATTCTTAATTATGAAATATACTTTCCTAAGATATATTCCGTAAACAACACAAATTGATTGATTAAAAGCTTTGACTTGATATAAATTCTTTAATTCCGGTACTCCTAACCTACGATTTCTGGCTCTGTCAGTGCGCAACCCATTTCACTTCTCTCCATTCAACTTGTTTTGCTTAGACCTTAAATTAGGACTCATTGTTAACTTCTCATACTTCGATATGTTCCTAAATAAACTTTTCTTTCCTTACTTGATGTCCCTAATTATATCAAGATTAAAATATTATTTTGAAGCTATGCGTTTTATAGAAATGGTAGAAACCATACGTGAATACGTGATGGTATAAGATTAATAATTGGTGACAACTCCGGTACCTTTCTAAAAAATGGGGTACCGTACCTACCATTCATTTGATTGGACCACACCACTTTATCATTTTTAATTTAGATTTAAATAATTAAACTGCTACATTCTCATTGGTCCATGTGAACAAAGGTACGGTACCTTATGGGTACCATAGAATCTACCTTAATAATTATGTGGTCATGGGTAGGAATAGAGATAGCCCCCAATTGTGGTGGTCAAAATTGCAATTATGGCGGTGATCTCTAAATTTTGCAATCAACTTAATTACACGCGATCATTAATTCTCCCTTTAGTCTACAAATCCAATTGATCTAGCTGCGATGCTTCACTGGGCATCCCACATGGGATGTGTCTATTGTCAATTGTGTATTAAATCCCTTTCTTTAATGATAATGAAGGGTCAACAACGCCCTTGTTTAGTTTCTTTATACAAAAACTAAATAAAGCCCCTCACCACAAAACTTGATTATAGTGAGAATTCCGAAATGATTTGGATCACTAAATTTAATTAGTCATATTGCAATCGACTAAAATCATACTACGTATTTAAATAAAAAAGATAACTCATTTCAATTCAATCCTCATTCCTCAAACTATCTCAATTGATATGAAGTTTATTAAGTTGAGTCTCCCACACACATACCACTCCATCAGTCGCATAAAATTTGACCAAAGTTGATTAACAGGTAGACTTTTTTAAATCAATTCTTTAATCCATTGTGTTTTAAATATTCTAGAACTTTGTTTTATATTAGCGATGCATGTGTATTTAAAATAACCACGCACAAGATTTAGTGGGGAAGTATAATCGGCTTCCGGTTATTGAAATAACACGCTAATGATCCACACTCTTAATCCCGTTTTTAGCCTGAAGTTGAGCACTTCGTCTAAACTTAAGTTGAGTAGCCATTTTATAATTAGGATCACTTAGTCGAGCAAGCCTCTCTTGATCACCCGAAGACCCTTCATCTGAAACCGCATCAAAATCTAAATAATCTCCCGAAGATTCTGAACCTAAAACAACTTGAGTTTGATAGAGCTTGACACCCCGCTCCTTGATCGAGTGAAACCCAACTTCATTCTTGAAGGCCGGAAGTTTATCCTGGTAACCTTGCAAATCTGCTTGTAGTAAAGCCTCTGAATTGTGTTGACGTGCCTTATTCCATATTTCCATTTCCTATACGATAATACGAGTGTGACTTTGTGACTAGTGATTAGACATTTCATGCACCATAGGAAAAAAATTACAATTATCTTATTTACGTGCAGGGGTCAGAGTCTTGGCCTTACAAATAAACTTTTAAGTGAAAAGTATGTTCATGTTACGATCTGATTATTGTGTTTGGAGAGGCTGGTGCTCCACATGGAGGATGTTATTTTAGACACATTTCGATGGGATTTCATAATTGTTGTAGACATTTTGTTATTTAGTTTTGTTAGAGATCCATATATTGATATATGGAAATGAATAAACTATGGGTTATTAAGCATGTTTCCTCTTGGTGAAGCTGTTAATAAAGTAGAAAGCACCTACCAGTTCAGACTCCAGACCAACCAGTTCCAGTTCTATCAAGGCAAGAATCGAAACCAGGCCAAGTTACAACGGTCTGGTCCAAATCTGAACATTTTGGCTCCGAATCTTGTTAGGCACCTACCCAGGTTTTAAGCTTATTTATTTTAATAAAAGCGATACCAAAACTGGCTAGTACTGTCTTATTTTGGAGCAAACCCAAATAAAATTTAGACCTGTTTCCTGGTTAAATATCGTACAAACAATCCTGACTTTGTACCGCAAAACTGGCTAAGCACTGGTCCCTTTTTGGTTTAAAAACGCAATCAGGTCCACGGTCCACCCCCAGTAACATCTGCACTCATTATGTCAATTGTGAAGAACTATATCGAAATGGTTTGAACTTTCAAAATGATTATGTATGGATAAATACAGTGTGTGTAGAAGCAACAAATAAAAACGCTTACAGTGCACACAATTGATGAACCCTAGAATGACTATAACTGATTTGATCTTTATCTCATGGTGAAATCTATTCCTTGTGCTGAGTACCCATTACGGTACCTATGTAAACCTCACTTATACAGATGCACAGAAAAGTAGAAACAGCTGAGTTTGTGTAGTTTTACATTTGAGAAATCATGAAAAACAAAAGGAAAGAATGTTTCACTGGTATTATTTTGCATGCCTTCATATACAAAAGAATCCTGAAAAGGAATGTTTGTTTTCCACACTCAAAAGTATTACAAGCATCAGACTTCATTGTCCTGTTATGGATTTCAAAACAAACATCAGATGACACTATAATATATACTCCAAAATGAGCATTTTGCACATACCTCTCTGAATGTGCACGTGTTTTGACTCCGAAGTTGAGACCACAAGCATGAAAAGGCGCTGTGGCATTCATGAACCTATTTACTCCTTTGAACATAAGCGTTCTACATTAAAAAAACAAACCAATCACTCATCAGTTAATCCCATTTTTCACCAATAGCTCCCATTTTATGCAAGAAAGTTGAAAATTACAGATAAGGAAGGAAATAAGATAATAATGAAACCCAGCAAGAGGCTACGTTTGGTATCGGGGGAAAGATGGCTTACTGAGATATTCATAGGCAAGTATCATTGAGGTGCCCCAAGCAGACATGCTGACAAATCTTGGACCCAGTCCTCTATATAGTCCTGTCCAACCATCTTCTGCAATCAACTGTTTCACTACTTGTCTTGCATTAGGTCTGTTATTTCCATGACCCATCACCTGCAATTCACCAAAAGCTACACAATTAAATGGAGAAAAGGTTTAAATCTGGTATCACCTGCTAGGCCTAAAACTAATACTCCCTTTCTTCCTCACAATCCAGAGGGCAGAACAAAATAATTGGTTTCCAATCAAAGGTCAAAATTAGGGTGGAATATATAAATGTCAGCATTTAAGGCTAAGCTTGTACGATTTCATCTAGCCTTCTAGGGTATATTTGGATCTTAGAAAATGCCAGGGAAAGGATAAGAACGTTAAAAAAAGCAATTTTCTTATGCTACCATTTACCTTGGAAGATGCAACAAAAATTAAATACAATTAGTTTTAAAATACTTCCATATGTCTAGATTTCTTAGTCTGTATGTCGTCGACATAAACAAATTGTTAAAAATGAATATCAACTAATATTTAAATTAATATTTTTGAGTGCTAGTCTATCTTTTGCATTCCTGCATCTTTTCTTTTCTTCTATGTTGGCCTTCCTATTCTCATTCCAAAGTATTATTCGGATTCCAAACATATCCTTAGCACAAAAAAAAGGAAGATTATGGCTCAGGAAACATAATATGTCCATTCAGTTTTCTGCCAGCACTGAGGTGCTATAAGCTGCATTTAACAAATATTATCAGTTAATTGGTACCTGTAAACGCGTTTTAATGGTATCTAATGGAGTAGTAATACAAGATGCAGTAACTCCTGCAAAAATTCCACCAGCAGCTTGAACTGATACTATCCTTCCCTGGCTAGGATCAGTTAGACCCTTCTCAGTCCCATATCCCAAGAGGCTGTCAAACACATGTAATGAAATGCTTTACAGAGTTTTCTGAGACCTCATAAGAAAGGGAAACGAATTTCTCAAATGGCTTACCTCCATATGAAGCGCTGGCTAGAACCATAGCTCGCCCACCAAACTGCACTTGATGGGGAATATGTTAAAACAGAGAGACCAAATCCTCTGTACAATCCACGAACGCCTTCAGATTTCAAGACTTTCCTAACAACATCTAAGCCCCCGGTGTAGTTGGCATGCCCTGAATATCCTTGCACCATCAACCGTTGGCTAACCTTTACAATTCAATTTCACGCAAACATAAGCATATTTAGTTAAATGAAAATGGAAGCAATAAAGTAAACGTTAGAAAATACTTTCTTTTATTGGATAGCAATGCTAAAATAACTATTTCTGTAAATAGAGTTTTATGTTTGATAAGGGAAAATGTGCACTTTCAGTCCCCAGAAAAAGTAAATTGAGTGCCTCAATTCTTCATATCAAATCTATCAGTTCCTAAGGTAGACTTAAAAGAGGCACATTCACCCCATCATTACTCTATATGTCACATATAAAGTTAGACCCTCATTCATCCAAATTCAATTGACATGATAAGTTCTCATGAAATTTAGAAGGTATAGAGGGAAAGACAGAAAGAAATATCACACTAAATTCGTAAAAAATAATACTACGTACTTTCTTTCATTATTAAAAGTACTCCCTCCATTTGTGTTTCGCCCAGGTTTTAAGAAAATAAAGGATAAACTCACTGTTTTACAATTTTAACCTCCAAAAAATAAGAAAAAGTAGCATGGGTACAAAAAGCAAAAAGGGTGAAATGATAGATAACAAGATAAAGTGGGAAAGTAAAAACTTAGTGGAGTTTAATTAAGAAAATTGCTCATTTTTTGGACAGCCCAAAAAGGAAAATGCACATTAAAATGGGGCTGAGGGAGTAATGAAGTTAAAAATCAAGTGATCTGAATTTTTTTCAAATATACTCTTTCAATTATTTGTGGGTTAGATATGATAAAGACAAAACAATTGATTTTCAAATGCAGATCTTATAATGTTCAATTACAACCGTGTGTAATGATGTAGTTTTAATGTTGAGAGGTTTACAAATGTATATTTTAGACAAGTTTTAATGTTATAAGAACAAAAAATACAATGACAATATGGACTAAAAGAGGTGACACAAATAATTGAGAAAAATCTATACTTCTGGAGACTGCGATTCTACAAGTGCCATCTTACCTCTTTAAATAGTCAATAAATTTTAAGGTGAAATCTGAGACAAATGCTAGGAAGTGTGAACAATCACTCAAGAACATGATATTGACACTGGTTATCCTTTTGCATACCACATCAATTGGAACAAATACAGACTGTGAACAAAGAGATGCCAACATGCCACCAATACCATTTGCTATGGCCGCCTGTGTAGGTTCTGATAATTGGAGTGGCTCAACCATCCGAAAAGCGGCTACTTTTATTGTCTCCAATGCCGTGAGAAATATAATTCTGGCAGGAATTGCACCAGTTATGACTGTTCCAAAACCTCTATACAAACCGGGAATCCCGTCTGTTTTAATAACCCCCCTCAACACAGAAAAAGCATTTTTTTCTGCAGCATAACGGTCAGCAACCTGCAATCTTGTCTTGACAACTGAAATGGGATAAAGTGCAACTGTAATCCCAGTAAAAATTCCAGCGCCTATGATATAGAATTTCTTTTTATCAAGCCTGCAAGAAGAGTGGATCATAATCACAATTTTGAAAATTCACTGCAAATCAGAAATAAAAAAAAAAGTATTGGAGAAGAAACATCATTAGCGCAGGGAGCATTCACATATTAACACCACAATACCTTCCATGATTAGCCATTCATCACTCGGATCAGTAAAACGAACCGGCATAATAATTTCTTGTTGCACAAAAGAATGAAAAAGAAAATTAAAATAAAGAGTTATGTAAATTTAGAAGCGATCATGGATAAGCTTACTTGTCCCAGTTAATCTCGTTTTGATACCGTTGTTGAGATCGAGCAGCATCCATCGTTGAACTTAAGGCTCGTTTCGAAGATGATTCAATTAAAAAAAATGATTCAAACCCTAAATCAGATCCCAGAGCCCCAGTCCCAGCACATTCAGATGAGAAGTTTTATTTAATTTTTAGATCATCCGGTTATGCTTATTTTTAATTTTAATAATTATTTTTTACTAAACACATAATTTTGATTTCCCTCATTACTTATGTAATAACTAAACCCTTTTTTCATATATATTGTACTCGGCAAATTATACGGTGAAACCGGCGCACCATGAGATGGTGCGCCCGGTTGCAAAACGAAGCAGCATGGTTTTTTTTTTTACTTTTGTTGTTATAAATTATAATAACTTTTTTTATTTTTGATCCGATTTTTATAAAATTTATATCAACATTTTTTATTTTTCATGATTTTTCAAATGAGACCAATATTGCTTATGTAATTTTAAGAAATTATCGAATTATTATATTAATGAGTATTGGATTATAAGGAAAATCAAATCTGTTTGGGAGATGATAGCTTTGTGAAATAGAAGATCGAATCTGCTTAGGAGTGGATCAGTGGCCTCAGTTACATTTGATAATACATTGAGTTACATCTTTTTATGAGCGAGTTACATTTTTTATAAGCAAGTTACATCTTTTTTATAAGCGAGTTACATATATATACACAAGAGTTGCATTTGACATGTCTGAACGCGAGTTACATATATTTACACGTAAAGTTACATATTTTTACACGTAAAGTTACATATTTATACACATGAGTTACATATTTATACACACGAGTTGCATTTGACCTGTCTGAACGCGAGTTACATATTTTTTTACGTAAAGTTACGTATTGTTTCACGTAGAGATACATATTTATACACACGAGTTACATTTGGCCTGACTGAACGTGAGTTACATATTTTAACATGTAAAGTTACATATTTTACACGCAAATGTTAATATGTTAAAATTACATAAACAATATTGGTCTCATTTGAAAGATCATGAAAAATAAAAAATGTTGATATAAATTTTATAAAAATCAGATCAAAAATAAAAAAGTTATTATCATTTTTTAACAACAAAAGCAAAAAAAAAAACAGTCATGCTGCGTCGTTTTGCAACCGGGCGCACCATCTCATGGTGCACCGGTTTCACCGTATAATTTGCCGAGTACAATATATATGAAAAAAGGGTTTAGTTATTACATAAGTAATGAGGGAAATCAAAATTATGTGTTTAGTAAACAATAATTATTAAAATTAAAAATAAGCATAACCGGATGATCTAAAAATTAAATAAAACTTCTCATCTGAATGTGCTGGGACTGGGGCTCTGGGATCTGAATTAGGGTTTGAATCATTTTTTTTAATTGAATCATCTTCGAAACGAGCCTTAAGTTCAACGGGTGGGATCGTAGAGGGAATTTCGAGACCTTCTCGGTATAATTTTTCATGATTTGTTTAAATATTTTATTCATCAAGTCTAGTTTATCAATGTCAAAGTTCAGTTAAAATTCAATCGAGAAGTAAGTCAAACATATATTTGAAAAAGACCACGCTGTTATATATATATATATATATATATATATATATATATATATATATATATATATATATATATATATAGCGCAGTTATCTTCAAACAATTATTAGCGCAGTTATCTTCAAACATATATATATATATATATATATATATATATATATATATATATATATATATATAAAGCGTAGTTATCTTCAAACAATTATTTAACTTCATTTCCGATTTAATTTTTAGCTGAAATTTGGTATGAGTAAACTAGGCTTGATGGAGAACATGTTCAAAAAAATATATCAAAACATTTCACTGGGAAGGTCCCGAAATGCCCTCGGCCGGACGGCAGTTCTTGTAACGCCGCTGGACAAGAACGAGACTCTTCTATTAATCGTATATTTAAGATATAAATTTTACACAATTATGTTTATCAAGCCAATTTATTCGTTTCAGCTATACTTTTATTAATTTGAATAAATTTAGTCGATTGGGCCAATTTCAATTCTGTCAAACTGTAACACTCCATTTGTCCTCGGAGATTAACACAAGTCCTTATCGCGCACGTTGTCCTCACTCGTGCGCGTCCCCGAAATTATTTATCACAAGACTACTCTCGTGTAAGCATAGTTAACTTGCAATTCTTAGGTGATGAGCTGATAAGTACTACTATTAATCTAGTTAATATTCTCAAATAATACACAAAAGGACTCATATATAGTTCATTAAAAATAGGGCAAACAAAATTATGCACGTTACTTTTAATTCAACTGAAAAATGTGATATTTGAAGTGTTAATGATTTTACTTTCAATTCTCTATTATTACTACTAACTGATGTACAATACTCTCTTTTATTGACGTGAAACGGTTTTTGTATTTATCAAAATGTCACACCATTTTTATTTAACATATTGAATAGTAAAATGGATGTTGGAATTTTTTGGAATGTGTAACAGCATTTTTATTTAACAAATTGTAATTAAAACAACAACACGCTTAAATGTATTTGACATAATTTTGGATTATTTTTATTTGGTGGACGGAACATCCAATTGAAATGTCAACCACCAAATTAAAAAGATCATATATAAATGTGCTTGACATAATTTTTGTATGGCAAATGATTTCATAAAAGTTCAAAATCCCCAAAATACATCACATATTTGATATATACTTTGTCGGCACTAAATTTAGTGAATGAAAAATGTAAAAATGTACAATGAAACATTGGACAAGGTGTTTGTAAGCAATCAATTTTTAAGGAAGAAAATTTAAAGGAACATTTGATTGGTCAATATTTGATATCCAAAAATGTCGAGATGAGTCATCAATTGTGTTGAGGTTTATTCCTTCAATCCAAAGGCCCAACGCCTTTCTATGGATTTTGAATGAAGTGTTTAGTGAATTGTATGTTGCAAGCAAGTAAAGATGGGTAAATGACAAGAGTAGTAAGTGGGTCATATCTTATTAAGTGTTAATAAGGGTTCGTATACAACTCACTTCAACTACAAGCCCTGAGGCCTTTCGTTCATCTCAATAGGAAGAGCTAGAGATAATTGCTATTTGCTAAAGGGAATAAGTTGTCAATCCCTTACAATGATATAAATGCCACTATTTATACTACAAAGAGGTAGGTGATATCGTTGACGTGGATAATTGTGAATGACTAGCTTCTCAACCACCAAATCTACTGCATTAAATGCGCTTCCCGCCAATATCTTGGTTTCCTGCCAAGAGATCCAGACGGGCGTCCCCCTGTCGTTAATCAGTTCTGGGTGCATATGAGCATAAGGATGTTGACTCCGCTCGGCCCATGCTCATCGTCCTCCCCTTGGCCCTTGGATCATCACATGGTTCACTGGCCAAGGGTGTTGAAGTTGCTTGTCCGCTCTGTGAAGACGAACGTCTCACTGGATCCCTTGCTGGATCATGCCCGAATTGGGCCTTAATGGTTCCTTTGCGCGCCAAGGGGTGATGGTCCATTCCGCTATCGGGCCCATTAACCCAATAGAAGCCCCCCCCTTCTGATGTTTCGAGCGTGCGCAGAGCATAAAGAAGTATGAGTGCTTTCTCTGAGCCGAGCCTTCCCGACGCTCCGATGTGACGGTTATTAGGCGGCCTCCCGAAACCCTAGGTGAAAGTTACGGCGGCTGGTTCAACTTCCAAAGTAAGCGTAATCATCACGTCTATTGGGCTCCACACGACACGTGGCTTGGTGTACGCTCCTCATCACGTGTCGCGCCCTTATTGGTTTGTTGGGTGGTGTAGTCCCCTATAAATACCACATCCCTTGGTTGGTTTAGGATTTCCAAATTTTGTGCATCCGCTCTCAAGTACTCGCAGTTCTTCCATTCAGATCCCCTAACTATCAGCTCTCTCCTTATCAAGTTTGTAAAGGTAATTCCCTTCGTCGTTCTCTTCTTTACTCTTTCTTTGGTTTTCCAATGGCGGATCCTATGGAGATAACCACGGACTCTCGTTCATCCTCTGAATCTGGTTCGGAATCCCGGTCGTCCAGAGAGATGAGTTCGTCTGGTAGCTTTGGGTCCTCGACCACGACCGAAGTAATCATCGTTCATATCGCGAATGGGGATGTTGTTCCCATGACCAAGCCGGAGACAACATTGTCTGAGAAATCGTCGTCTAGGAAGAGGCCCCCTATGACAACGCCACTGAACCCCAACTCGAAGATGTTGATTCGGGTGACAAAGCCTATGATGGGCACGATCTGACCGTCTTCGAACTCGGCATCCCTCAAGACGTTCCATGCCATGTGGTGCTGCTGCAGAATGCCTATGGGTGCGAGCAATCCTTTTTTGACAAGGCTCTGCGAGAATTGCGGTTATATCTGCCTCTGCCGGTCGTCTAGAGTCTGGAGAGGCGGAGCATCCTCTAAGGAGCATGTAGGGTTGCGATTTACCCTCCATCCCTTTTATCTCGATCTCTTCCACTTTTACGAGGTCGTCCCTGCTCAATTTTATGCTGAACTCATTCCAGTTTACCTCAGCCTTCATTGTTCCGTGTGTTGATAAGAATGTCAAGCCGATCCTGGATCTATTCCACTATTTCTTCAAACTCTCCCCCCAGAACTCCGACAGATTTTTGAGTATCAGCGCCCGACCGGGCTGTAAGTTCTTCCATGAGCCCCCTTGTCCATCCATGACTGGAAGATCCGTTTCTTCTTCATCCGGTTCCCGAGGGTCAACTGCCCAACCGGTGGAATGGATATCCGCCCAAGATAGGGCCGCCTGATCTTACTGATGAGTTGGAGGAGGCCATCAATAAAGTGAAGGAAGGAGGCCCCGAGCACCTGGAGCCTTACCTTACCTTTGGGGCGCTTGTCAATGCAAGAATAGCTATTGCTCGTTCCTCTGGATTGGATAACGCTCCCCTCCGAGTCGTATCGAGATCCCGGGCGGTCCTATTCTGCAAGGTGAGTGTCCTTCTGGATCCCCACTGCCCGGTTATAAAACTTTTATTTTTTCTTATTTCAGGACCTCCCCCGACTCAGAAGCAAATGGATTTCGATGCCTTGAAGCTAGAGAGGGCGACAAAGAATGCCAAGGCATGAGCCGCGAGGGAGAAACAAGCTGCTGGGCAATCGGCCCAGTCCTTTGAGGCCACTTCCGAAGCCTCCCAT